GCACAGCTGTGCTTCTTTGAGGTGTTTACCACGTGACCCAAAGAGTGACTTCAGCATAGGAGGGTTAAAGGCCTAGTGCAGTCGGGATCTGGTTGGTCTGGGATTTTTGCTCACCAATTTTTGCTTCCACCTGTTGACTGCAGCTCCGTTCATGCCGTTCATGTTTATCAGACTGCGCATGCAGTGAGCCCACCAATGACCGCGCTTGCTCTGCATCTTGGTTCGACAATTAAGCCCCTTATTCATGTCAGGCTAGGCCTATTTGTCTTTCTTACATTTATTAAATTTGTTTTTTCTAAATTGCCAATAAAATAGGGTCTCACAGAAAAATTTGGGTCGGTTGGGAAATCGGAAGCAATAGGCCTATTTGGGTACGCAAATGTCGATGTTTTTACTTGTTGTAACTTGTATCTAAGCCCATGCTTCTGTTTATTTAAAGAACAGAGTGAACAATTATCAGGTGATAAGTGAACATGGTGCGAAGTGGAAATGGGGCGAAGTGACCGACACCCGATGCACATGTTAATTCTGCACCCCTGCATTTAAGAAAATTAAGAGTAAACTAACAATTAAATTAACAAGTTAAGAACCTTGCCTTTTCGAAGCCTTAGAACTTATAAGAACGTGTAAGGCTGTTTCACTTGCAGTTGCATAGAGTGAATTAATGAATGGGGCAACTTACATGTAAATGATGTAGCTGTCCGTGGGCTACTCTGCACTGTGGGCTCGTGGTGCAGGTGGTGGGCTGCTATACATCACGCGTGTTATTGATTATGGCTGGCGAGCCAGGGCCACCTTGCTGACTGGCCGCAGTCAAAATATCCCACATAAGGCTACGTCTCTCGTTAGCGCGCCTTTTATTTCAAAGCAAAGACAGAGCTCGAAGCAACATCCGCTGTCACGGCTCACTCTCAGCATTTTTGTGTAGACGTCATACAATACGTGGTTTCGTCCACCTGTTTACAGAGGGAGTATTTTGAATGTGTGCGTGAAACATGACAACCGAGATGCGACACATTGGTCATTAACCGTGTGAATTTAAAAAAAATTAAAATTGATTGTGCTGTCAAATTGTGTTTTATATTATCTTTCCAAATTTTAGTTCAGAAGTGCTTATTTGCTGAGAATAATTGACTTAACGATCCCTTACACCATGTACCAAAGGAAATGCTTAGGCTTAAGGATGACGTTTACACATTGTGTACTTCGAAACCCTAGTTTGCACAGTACCTATACCGTGCACGCCATGTCTACCGCATCAAGTACCATGGCAACTTGTCCAAGATCATGTGAATAAAGTGGCATACGCAGTCCTTCCATTTTTCTCTGAGTTTTTCAGGGTTGCGTTGCATACGCCTACATGGGCCTCTGCTTTGGTGGTGTGAAATCGGCAGGTTCAACTCGAAAGTTGTTAATGTTATTCCCCAACTTTGGTCGTAAGTGTTGGTTTTACTGGTGGACGGAGGAAAGCCGGACAACGGAAAATTTATTTGCCTCAGCCTTCGGGGATGAGAAAATAATTCCCGAGAAAACAACCAATAACCATGACAACGAACAATTTTCTAATTATTCACATTTGGAACACTTGATCGATTTTGTAGATCAAGTATAAAATTAAAAAGGAGTAGGCCTTCCGTAGGCCACTAGGGCCTACATGTACATGTATATGATAAGAAAAGGAGCCATTATGAAAGCTACATAGTACGTGTCCACTGTAAGGTTAATCCTCTGATCATCTGACACTGACAGTCTGTAAAGTGCTATTCTAGTCTGTTTAGTCCCCGAAGTTCTTTCCCACAACTCAAATCTAGGATTATTGCCAAACATTATTTATCCCTGGCATTTCTACTTTCCTATTGAAGTGTGGTCATATGGAATCTTGTCTTGGCTAGATTTCTTTTACAAATGAAAGAATATTCCAAATCAAAGCATAGCAAAATAGGCTTAAAACAAAAGTGTTCACAGTGTACTTTCACAGAGTTTTTACCATCATGACTCCTACTAGTCCTAGAGATCAGATACCATGGTCCCTTCGACCTTTTCTTAAGAACAGTAGTTTTTTGTCCTTTATTTCATTGTGAGTTCATGGTGTATTTTCTTGCGTAGCATGCTTTATCAGCTTCTGGGAACTCACTCTCATGCACAGAGTAATGAGCCTAGTCTCCCTTAAAGCACGCCTCGACCGTCCTTCGGCATTTTTTCATGTATCCTGCTGGACAGATTAATTTATTATTTACTTGCCCAAAGAAATTTTTACAAGCCCACTGGACACATTTTCAGTGAAACTAACTTTGACCAACTGATTTAATTTTAAAGTTTTTTTGGAATTTTCAATTATTTCAACTTTTACTGTGGAGTTTGGTTGTCTTTTTTAAAACTTAAAAGCAGACGATTCAAACTGATACTTATAAACAACATCGATATCTTTGGCAATCCATTTCACAATGCTTTTTTTATTCAACTTTATACACATGTTGACCTTAACCTTCCCCAACGACACAGAATTAAACAGCTTAGTAAAGTGTTTAATTCTGTGGGGATAGGTCTGGTAAGCCGAGGCAGCTGGCTTTTGCATTGGGTTTGGCATACCTCAGAAAAACAAAGTCCAACAGCCTCTGTGCACAAAGTTCCATCTGGGTGTTTAACTTTGTGTGAATGGGGAAGGTTAGGGCCAGCAACCCTTGGGTGGTTAGGGTTAAAGAATGCATTTTACTTTTACCGGCAGCAGCTTTTACTAGAATTTGTACATGTACTGTATGCCTGTCAAGTGTAAAGGTCGAGACCTGCTTTAGGATTTGTCCTATTTACAGAGTTAATTTGTGCTTTTGTGATCACTGGTTTCAGGAAACCATGGCAACAGGTGCCCAAGATGACCTGATGAAGCAGGCCCAGCACATGTGGTCCATGTTGGATGAGCTGGCAGAGACAGACGTAGATGCCTACAAGAAGTTCATCCAGACAAACCTGCAGCAGGGCAAGAAGGAGTTGGCTCTGGCCAAGCCCTGGATGTGCGTCAAGACAAGAATTTTGGTTGGTAATTTGGTCCTTGTCTGAATCACTACACATTTGGAAATATATATCCGAGTGGTTAGGGTTTGAAGCTTCCAATCATAAAGGGTCAGGGGACGAATCCTGATATGTTGTGACCTTGGGCGAGTCACTTGATCCCTTTGTGTTGCTCTCTCCCCAAGAGTAAATGGGTGCTGGTGAAGGCAGATTTGTTTAGCCGTTTGCGCCTAGCACAGTAGAATGGTGTGAGTATTCTATCCAAAGATGGTCCCAGGAGTATTCAGCTGATGTTAGCCCAGGAGGGAGGGATGACGATTGTATATAGACTGGCGCCTTTAAATGACAGATTCTCTTAGACTCTGTGCGCAGCATGTAGACTCTGATATTGTGATCATGCATTGGCTCCATGCTGGAACGAGGCAATTGCTTATTGCATGTACATGTACACTTGTATGTAACTAACGACGATCCACTGGTGGGGACTCGCCAATTCATTCACCTGTGTATACATGCATTAGTTGAGGTAATGGCATGGGACAGCCTGGGTATGTACAACCTTCCCCCGTCACATGTACTAGTGCATGTATTTCTGCTGAAATATATGGACTTCACACGTTGCATGCTCCAAGTACTGGCACGGGCCTGCTTGGAAAACTGGTTGGCAATTTCCTTGCCAGTGAGAGGTGCTTCAAGTCGGACTCCAGAAAACTAGAAAAAGAGGACTTGCCTTCCCTATTATGAATGTGACATTTGCAACTGTACATGTAAAAATGTATACCCAGAGTTTTACAAACCAGCAGTAAATCTACATTTTCCAAATCTGAATGGTTTTTCTTTTCTTTTGAGTTAGTTTTTGAATTCAAATTTAATCTATCTTGTACCATTTGCCAGCCAGATTGAATTCACACAGAAAAGGGATGTCCATCAAAAACCCTGCTTTTCAGTGTCCAAATAATTTGAAATTATTTTGGTAAGAAATATAAAGTTCTTGATGGCACTAAATAACTAGGCCTATTTGATGGCATCTCAGGAAATTTTATCTCAGCTTATTTAGCAGCGGGCTACATGCAGATGTTTTTGTGTTTCATTCACATGCATTGCATTGCATCCCACATGTACCTCACGGTCATGTACATCCAGAAAAGCGCACACTTGACTAAACATGCGACAGCATCATACACATTTACATGTACGTTAGCCTTAACGCTGACAGTACTCAGTACAACAAAATACTAAGTAATAGCCTGAGCCTGAAGGACCTAGCGCTACAGATTACTATTTCTGGCTAGGTTACTTCCATTGTTACTCATACAGAGAACAATAACGCCATGCATTCATAGTGCCACAGCACTGTATGGTACATTGTCTTATCTATTGTATCTTATGGCTTCACAGAACAATAAAGTCACGTCCTCTTACAAGCGGCAGCACTGATTACTACATTTTACTACAAGTAGTAATTTGTGGTATTATGTAGGGTTAGGGTTAGCATCTATTGCTAGCCACGGTTGTTAAAAATGGACATTTTGTATGAGTTTAACAGTCACTGTTAACAATATTCGTGGCTATACTAAGTCTTGTGGTTACATCTGGTTTCAGCATTTTAAACTCCATCTTTGGGTCTGAGCACCAGGGGACTGTGGCACAGTATAAAATTCCTTTTTTTGGAAACATGACATCCTGCATTAATTAAGAAATCAAACCTTGTGAATGTTCGGTTCAGGATCTTGAGGTGGAGCCAAAGTCAGTCGATTTGAGAGAGGGTCACAGCCATTCTTAAAGTATTATGGTTACCGACATTTCTATTTTCAGAAGCCTTACAAAGCCACATTGTACATCAACATCTGCAGTTGGTCCCGCATTGACAAACCCAGAACGAGCACAGACCCTATCAAGGTCACTGCTGGACCAGTTCAAGATGGGCACGATGAAACAGGTACGGGTCACTTACATGTAGAAACTTAATGGAATTAAACCTAGGGATAAATATGAAACAAATCCACTAAAACTGTAAAGGGAAACTGACTAGAATAAAGAAATTGACAAAAGTGGGAATTGAACCTGTGACCTCCAGGATACCATACCACAGAGCACTGGTAAGATATTCCAGAGGTCGCAGGTTCAAATCCTGCTCTAGTCAATTTCTTTTGTCATCTTTATGGTATATGCAAATCAATCAAATGCAGTGTATACCTTTCAAATCAGTAACGTTGAACTTCACGAAGTTCATAATGCTCAATACGTTGAAGTAGCGTAAGATGGGAGTAATCGCTAGACACAGATGACACGTATGATTCTGTGGAGTTCACTGGGCACTTTAATTTGACAGAAAGAAAGTTCTTGAAAATGTCCCTGTGAGGAATGGAAGAACATGTTAAATGTTCTTTGCTTGTAAGCTCTGTTTAGATTGAAGAACAAGCCAGTCTTAATGTCAACAAACCTCTTGAATGCATGGCTCTGTCCTCAGCTCCGTCCTCCCCACTGAAGGCCTGTGGCTCTGTTCAGAGTTTGGAGATACATGTAGATGTACAATTGAAGAGCAAAGTTATGTTACATACACTGTATGTATTACTATTGCAAACCCTCTAATGTATATCTTTTCCTCCTGAAATTAATGTCCTGCTACTTCCCCAGTTTGCACTCTTTTAACGAAAATCAACTTATGTAAAAATGGTTTCAGTTCACATTTGGTTTGATTTTTATGTACATGTGTTCTTTGATAATTACCAAATGTTAGGTACCTTCAAGGTGGTCCGTGTGGCCTTCAATCCAGATGTATTGGAGGAGTGCAGCAAGAGATCAGAAGAGAAGGACATGCTAATAGGAAATGCCATCGACTACCTCAAGGATGAGAAGAAGTTGCACCTGTCGTCCAGTTACCACATCTGCGATGACATCCGATTCAAGGGGGATCCCATGGATCTGGGGGATTTCTTCTGCTCAGGAGTGAGAGCGAGACAGAAGGTGGAAGAGGAGCAGAGCGCCAGGAACCTGAGTAAGCTGACGCCTGATTTGCTGCTGAGCCAGCTCAAGGTGTCAGATGACCAATTGGGAGCCACTACCGTCAGCCCGGATGTGACTCTGCACTCGAGCTTGAAATCTGACAAACTGAAAGGCGGCTTGATCCAAGAGATTTCCAGTCAGGACGTTGGGCTAAAGTGCCCTGAGTATGACGTGAGGTTGAAAGAGGCAGATGCTAAGAGGCAGCAAAGACTCGTGGTCAGGATTCTGCTGCCCGGTGTTCATTCTGTTGCTGACTGTGAGCTAAATATTACCCAGGTACACCTACGTCCATCGTTCTTTCACTTTCTTGTTTAAGCCCTTAGAAGGATGCCTGTAGTTGAAAAGGGGCATGTAATACGCTACATACTGTACTGCAGCGTGTATGTACATGTTATCACACTTGCCTGTTGAAAATCAATGCAACCTCTAGCCTGCAGGCATACATGTACATGTCTATTCATTATTGCTGACGTGGGTCTTGAACTACGTAAATCAGTTGGTGAAAGTATGCCACAATGAAGTTGCCCAGGCGCAGCATTGGTGGGTTTTTTGGGGGGGACCATTTCATGTTGGGATTAAAATTCTCTATACCTACACCTACGTGTATGATTGAAGTGAACTTCATGAAATGTGGAGTTGGGTCTTTCACTTGTCTTTAAACATTAGATTCATTTGTCGTTTTTTTTTCTTCACAGGAAGAACTAAGTCTCACGGTGGCAGACAAATTTGAGTTACATCTGCCTCTACCAGAGGCGATAAGAGAAGATGATTCTACGGCCAAGTTCAACAGCAAAACATCCTCACTAACTGTTGCCATGCCGACCAGGACCTTCGAGAGTTGACGGCTGCTCTGACACTCACCACCAAAAGACTGTGCAGCGGATGTGTGCAGGCTGGAAAGGATGTCTGCCGAGGCATGATTCTGGGAATGAGCTCAAGCATGGATCTGACATTTAAAAACAAGCAACAAAAGTAGTTCACCAACTTTTGTGCATAAGAGTTATTCAGAGTTGAAATGCAATAGGGATGGGCAAGGGAACCTGGTGCCTGAGTGCCCAAGTACCTGGCTGACGATGTCATAAAGCATTGGAGGTCATATTCCATCGTCACAAGTTGTGCACAGTAGCTTCAGGTAAAGACAGAGAGATCTCAATCAAATAGAAGACCTAGATACACAGAATGCTAAAACAGATGTCTCATACGTGCAGAGGTTGTTGATGAGTACTTTGGACACAAGGTGGTAGTTGCAATTGAGAATGCCTCTCCAAGTCCGTCTTTTCTCTAGATTGTGGGATACTTTTCTTTTGCAAGGGTGCAGGTACACCTGTTTAATTACTTTCACAAGGGACCCAGTTCCCACATGACCCGTGAATGTTCACCATTACAATGCAATTTTCTCTACGTCTGTAAAAGTGACAATAACAGATTGTCACACTGACAAGATACACGTTCATGTACCCATTAATTTAACGATTGAGCTTAGTGTGGTGCAAACTACTGTGTCGATTCAAACCAACGATCCATTGCTGATCATCTCGGTGGTTCTGGGGATACGGCATTTGCTCTAGTAAAGAGGTCATTGGTTCAAATCTCACCAGAACGAGCACGTTTCCCAACTCATTGAAGCTCTGAGGAAGCAGTTACAACTTGTCGACATGAAGAGTGAATTCTTATCATTATAGACACTCCAGCAATACAGTTTTCCCTTGTCAACTTGACAAACTTTGCAGTGAGTGATGCGAATGATAACAGATAAGAGAATGCAGCTCTTGGTTCATTTGAGTGGTTTGTGACTCGTAAGTGGTTGACTCATGACGACTTGTTTGCATCTTTTGGAATCGATTTGAAACCCATGAGGCTGGTCTGGAGAATTCAAGTGTACATCATCATCAGGGCTGCAAAGCCTGCAGTTTACATGTACATGCCGCAGCAATGATTGGCTTACCAACAGCAGGTTAGCAGTGGGATAAGCTATGTGTCATATCTGTGCATCTTGCAAAGTTCAGGTTGTCGGCTGACGTAATTAATGGGCCTGGGCTGATAAATATTTCTTCCGGGCAAAATTACAGTTGAAATTGTGACACACATACCTCTAAGTAAACCATTACAGCGAGGTAAAAATCTGCCCAGGGGATATCAATCAGCCATAATTTGCCTGGGTGAAATACTAATCCGCCTGGGTGAATAAGTGTCATTTAGTCATGAATACAGATTCGTTAAAATACACTGTTGCTACATGTATGTCATGATATTTTAGGTAAGCTGGACACAAGTACCCAAGGCCACCTGTGGCTGTACATGTACATGGGTCCCTACATTATCTCCAGATGCCCTCCAAATGTCAATATCTAATGTGTGGTATAGTGGCGCATAAATTAATCTCGGAGGATGAACCTTTATTTCCAAAATTATGCATTGATGGCCACGGTGGTAAAGGTGAGCTGCCCATTGAAAATGAACAGGGGGACTGAATTCGACACCATTTTCTCTTCGTTTCTGTATCTTGGAACGATTTCAAGAGATATATGTAAAAATCACCATGGCTATTACTTTGTGGTCTTGGTGCGATTTTCTTGGGGAGGGGGCTCAAAATAAAGACTTCCACAATTTCTTTTCCAAAATTTCTCTCGTCTCAGACACACAAAGTTGAATAAAACAGCAGGGCTCCCTTCCAGATGAGCTGAAGAGAGAACTTTGCATGACATGTATGTTGGGGTACCGTTCTCCACCCACACTCGACCAGAATCATGGGCCATGAAGTTCTTCAATTTTTGGTTTCAATTCTCCTTTCGTCGCTCTGAGTGGTTTTCTCCCTGATTTGTTTCCAGCTAAGTGTAAGCAATGGTTTGCTCTGGGAAACTTGAAGTACATTGCATTGCACAGTCGAACCAGTCCATTCTTCATGGTTTTATTACTGATAATGCAAAGTTCCTGCAGTAACAAAGTTATTTGCAAAGTCCGCATGACTGTATATGCTATCATCCCATAGGAAGAGGAATTTCAATATAATAATTCGGTTTGTGTGTCAGCGATGAAGCGTGACAGATGACGAAACTGTGCGGCGTGATTGAGAAACGAGGCTACGTGTAGCCCTTTAGAAAGGCTTTAAGTCAACTGTTTGATAGTTTCCCACATCAGAGTTATTTATTCTACGCACTTAATTTGGAGCCTTGTTACGCCTCAAAGAGCCGGGGTTTTTTTGGCCTTGTCACAGCTTGGGGGGGATCTGCCCCCCCCAGATCTCGGCCATACGACGATTTATTTCAATAAAATTTGGCAGTGTCATAGAGGCATACATACTAACCATCTGTGTGAAATTCTATGTAAATTAAGGGTTTGCATAAAAGTGAGCCATTAATTATTCATGATACCATTTTTTAAAATTTTTTGATTGTCGGGTGATTTTATTGCATTTTTCACATCAAAGATGCTCTATGGCTTGTATATTCAGTGAAATGAAACCAGAAATGCTGTGAGCTGTATACAGCAATATGCATAAGTTAACTATACAATTAATACACCTTCCCGAAAACAAGAGACTTCCTGACAAAAGGAAACCACTGCCCTTTGTACGATGTACATGTACTTCTGTGTATAAAGTCAATGGTAAAATTCACATCATACTTCACCCTGCCTCCTAAAATTCTTCACTGAGAGTGAACGCCAGGTCCAATTTTTATAAATTTGGGATCAAAATGAGGCTGATCATATTGGGAAAAAAGTCATTTGTATTAGCACACAGAAACTAATCCCATAGATGCTATAAGCAAAAATCAACAGGGGGCGGATTCTGTCCCCCCCCCCGCTCTTTGAGGGTGATGCAGTCGATGCGGGAGGAAATCATTGCTTCTGTATTCCATGCATGAAAAACCCTGCATTGGAAAATTGTAGCTATGATGATATGCGGTTTCCTGAAGACCAAAGAAGTCGGAGAATCAGAGCGAAAAAGACCACAAGGTTTGTGTTTCAGTACATTTTCAATGGGCCGTGGCCTCATGCACTTTTTGCCGCCATATCATAGACTTTCATACGCATGTATCTTTGAAAAATGTTTATTTTTTTCAAGTTTTTGTTCATGAGGAAATTAAAATTAGCATATACATGTCGGTGCACCCGCAGTGCAATAAGTGAACAACAGCTGGTGAAATGTTCTCTTTGTGACCTAGCCACTGAACTCAATGACCCGCCTTGGGCAGAAGCATAAGGTTGAGAAGTGTTTATTTTGTTAGTGCGATGCGCGGGCAACACACGTAAATGTATTTCATAGTCATTCTTGAAACGGAGCAGTGCAGTTTCCACCATATTGGTCACCCTGAGCTGGCTGTACATGGCTCTGCTCTGGCTCAGAGCTGTTTGGAGACAGAGTTCCGACATGAGTGTCTCAGTTGTTGGAACTAAAATGGTGGATTATGCATCAATGCACACGTAGTCAACTGGCATTTGGGTTTTCTCTGTATGTACAGCTCGGCCCTGGCTAGGAAAAATGCGCCCTCTCTTGTTACCACCCGGCGGCCCTTTGGGACTAGGGGAGCATTCAACCCCTCTGCCATTTCCTGCAAGAATATTACCCTCGTTCAAGTGACAGTGTGTAATTCAAAACCCCATTAGCCACACCTCTTGGATATGATAATCAGTGCAGGAATCCTCACTGTTCCAACTTTGGCAGAAACTGCAGTTTTTGGGAGACAATTACAAGAATTTTAGGCATCACGTACTACCAAAAGAGTTCACACGGTAAAGAAACTGCCTCAAAAAATCTTTTTCAGTCATGATCAAAGCAAATTTAACCATAACCCTGAGCTTAATGAATTTGTCGTGCAAACACCGTTGGTTTTTGTTGTGATTTCACACGATTGGCTGGTTACAGTGTACAATATTCACTGCAACTTACATTCCACACACTCGTTTCATGTTTGAGTCAACTATTTTGTGAGAAATCGGGAAACACAGGGGCGGCATTTTCAACGCTTAAAGCAAAGGTCTTGTAGTTTACCTTACATACAATCTATGGATTTTAGGGTGTTTGTAATACAAGCGAACAATATCCTCGGGGTCAGGGTTCTCATCAGGTACGACAGGTTCTCATTCCCTTAACAGGGAGCATTGCCTCTACTCCTCGACAATGTAGCATTGCGGCTTCATGGAAAAACTTCATCCAGGAACGCAGTCGACTCGTGTCCTGACATCGAAACGAGAAGGCATGATGATGCAGGTGCGCGCGCGATCGTGTTTATAACCGCACTTTCATCTCAGTTTACTCGTCGATGAAAGTCTAAAACACCATCCTCTGTTGATTCTTTAATAACTTTAAGAAAAAAGAATTATGTCGTAAAACAAGGGAGGATTAACGTGTGGAAATCGTACTTTTTGTTGACGAAAATCATCATGCTCGGAAACAGCCGTAATATTGAATCATACCGTTATGCTGTAGGGGTGATTTTGAATTCGTAAAGTTTTCCGTAAAAACAACTTTCCTTAAATAAACTTTAACTTCAAACTGATCCAATTTATTTTCCATTTTACGCCTGACACTCAGGTTTCTATAAATTCAGTTCACAGTTCGTTTGGTGAGTGTACTGTATGTCAGCATATTTTTTAGCTGCGTTTGGGTTTATCCGTTCATTAATGGAGACCCCCCACAACATCTGCAAATACAATAAGAAAATTGGCGCCTGTTAAAGGATGTGGTGTGCGAAGTGATGGTTGGCCCACCATCGTAAAAAAGAGAACGAAATTTTGTTTTCTCAAAAACTACAGCATTCTTGTTGGAAATATTTTACAGACTGGTTGAGACCGTTATGTACTTTCAAGTCGGATATTTTAGGATTATACGGTAATCCGATTTTCGAGATTTTACCAACGGTGTACACCACCTTTAAGGCTAAGTTCCTGCCAGAATCGCAATCACGTACAAGCGACGTTCCGGTGTTTTCCGATAGCAAGCAATGCCATTGACAAGCACGCCGGATGTGTCATTGGAATTTCCACAAGCGCTAAAATAGCACGCTGGCAATTTGCGGGAAGTCCCTGGCTCTCCTTTTCTGCGAAGTTGATAGAGTGATTGGAAAGCAGTCCACAGCTCCTCAAGCAAAAACCTTAGTTGGAGGGTTTTAAGATAGATCATGCATGGAGGAAGGACACAGAGGTTGCGTCCTTTCTCGTTTTCCAATTTACCCAATTTATCAAATAATACGCTTTTGCTTATGCCCCTTATGTATAGAATTTCGAAATGCCTAATGATCTGTTGCCGATCGTATGTTGTATTTGAATCCTATTAAAGGGTGCACCGTATGTCAAATCTAATTACTGGCATGAGATCCTGTTAATTTAAAGACGCCAAACTTAAACCGGGAAGACGAGGCTAGACGGCTGGTGTCGTGGTGGGTAAATAAATTAGATTTTTGATCGGATGACACACACGTTCTTTCATATCAACATTGTGTTCCCAAACTAATTCAGGTTTGGCCCAGCGAAATTTTAAACCTTATTAGCTAAATCTATTGGATGTGATTGGTCCAAACTATAAGACTGATCAGTGCGAGAAATCTCAGCACTCAAGCCTTTGCAGAACGGCTACGGTACATTTGTTGTGAGCTTTTAAAGCTTAAATTGTGATTTTGTCCCGCAAATAGCGAAAATGGAGTGTCGTCATCAACCAATTTACATGCATGTACATGTAGGCTGTCCTGCTCAGTGCATGTATGAACGATGACGTAGGAGGTGGTACTCAATCGACGCAATGCTAGGCTAGTATACTGTGCATTATGTAGTATGTACAATGTACATGTACATGTACAGTAGTTGTTTACAAAGAGCGTACATGTATATGTACACTGTACATGTAATGTACATCGCGAAAGTTAAAAAATGGCTGGAACCGAAGACGTCAGTGTAACGTACATGTACTGCTCGAACCTTTCAAGTTCAGTCATGATCAAAGCAAACTATTGGGATTTGATTATGGACCTGTCGTGTGACATCATTGCTGAATAATATATTGGATCCATTATATTTGTCATATAGCGCTATTCCCTCGTATAACTCAACCCCACTTTCACGTTTGTTTATGCCAAGGGAAATCCCCCTTCCAGTACATGTACGACTAAAATAAGTCGTAGCTCTGCATGGTAATGGTGCGAGCTGATTCAATGCAATCCCTTGGAAGTTGGATTGCGAAATGTTTCCTGGAAAAGAATGACTCGCCGATCCGGGTTCAAGTGTCGCGAAAAATTGTTCATAAGTAAAAGACATTCGCGTGTAGCATCAAATGATTGGCAACTGCAGTGGATGCTATGGCCGACTCTCCGAGTGCAGGTATCATTTCCGCGGGCTTTTCAGCCTCGACAGGACTGCGCATTCAGAGTCCTTTTGCGGCACAGCAAGTACCTGAACCAGAGCAGGCACCCAAACCAGAGCAATTAGTACTCGAAAGCCTGACACATCATGGACGGATAGATCAAGCTTTCAAATGGGCTGGCAACATAGTGTCTGGTGGCTTTTCTGCAGTTGGTGCCGACCGCTCTCAAGGGCACGAGCCGTTCGTCGCGGGGGCTACCGCTGAGACTGCAGGTCTTGGAGCGAGCTCAACCACTGGTACCCCCAGTATCATCAAACTTAACATGAAGGATCTCTTCAGCATGACGTCCATGATGTACACGCCACCCGTAGAAGAGAAAGATGAGCGGTCCATTTCAGTGCGAATCCACATGCTGAAAAAGAACAGATATGTCACATTAGACGTGGGCACCAGCTCAACCATCGCGGAGTTGAGAAGGCAAGCAGCTAGTCAGCTCGACCTATCCCACCGGAGGCTGATGCTCATCTTCAACGGCAGCCAACTTGAAGACCACGAGGAGATCAAATCCCTGGGAATGTCACATGGGTGTACCATATTTTGCATGGAATGCATCCCAGGCGGACAGATGGGCATTTTCCAACTCGACCCATCTGATCTGGACCCAGGGTACGACTTTGACTTTACAAATCAATCCAGTGACGGGAAGACGTACTGGCGAGGTGGCCATAAATACCGGCGACCGTACGGATGGAAACGGTACGCGGTCAAAGTTCACGGCGAGTATGACAACGACACTTGGCTGGGGGAGAATGGCATTCGTACGGAATCGAGTCCTGGTGAGTGGGCAGTGAGCTACCACGGCACGGCAAAACGTAACGTCAAACCAATACTGGAAGACGGCTACAAAATCGGCCACAGAAAGCTCTTCGGACCGGCAGTTTACACCAGCCCGAACCTGGAGAAGATCGATGAGTATGGCTACACGAAAGAATTCACCAAAGATGGCAAGAGATACAAATTTGCCCTGCAGAATCGAGTGAATCCAAACCACCTGACAGTGATCAAACCAGACGAGACCGGCTATGCCGACTTCCCTTACTGGTTATCCCCCATGCAAGATCCTAAACGAGGTATATTTCATGTCAGACCATACGGTATACTTACACGAGAATTGTAGATAGCGATTGAATCCGAAGAGAACAGAATGGATCATCCATAGACACCTTAGCTGCGAGTGATCGGCAAATGTAATAGGCTTTCCCGGCCAATTGTGGAGAATGAATTAGAGCAACATTCGTTTTTGAGCGAAACACAATACACGTTCAAAATCCCCGTGTTTATATTGAATGCAAATTTTCCACATTCAGATTAAAGCAACACCCAATACTGACATGGTCTGAAAAAAGACAGATTTTCTGCAAATTAAACTGCATTGCACATCTACAATTAGTGCAACGAATGCGTAAAACCAAATCACGTACATGTGTTTGTAATCTTTCAGATGAAACGTACTGTATATTCATGCAGAGTGAAGTCGAATTCTTGTTATTGGGAAATGCCTCGGTTTTCGAAATCTGTGCCAAATGTGATTTTTATTTGACAAATTTAATCGCTCATTTTTTTCAACTTGGCCCGGAAAACCTTTTCTATTTAAAAAACCTTTTGACCGTATTTCGAAAAAATTTAAAAATTATGATGTAATAATATATTGCAAACGTGAGCAAAATACAGGAAAATATTTGGAAGTGTTTTAAAGTCCTGGAATTTCGTCGGGGTACAAGTTTTCCAAGTGGATCAGCCACCATTGAATAGCAAATGAGCCTTATTTTCTGTGATTGTATTTTCAAACTATTGAGAGAAGAAAAGAAAGACAAAGTGTTGAAAACATTACATTTAATTAAACTTCACTGAAAATAGCGTAAGAAAATCGCTATCGCAATTTTACGTGACATAAAAATGTGCTCTTACGTTTAAATATGTTGTATTTGATCTTAACGTATGACTTTCGTATTCGGACTACATTGAAGAAGTATTACATTATTTCGTGCAACGATCCAACCGTACAGAGACCAATCTCGATTAATAACAGTGGTAATACATTAGGAATGTTGGTATAATACTAGTGCTTGAAAAGTATTTGTGTATCAGAAGTGAAGTTGAAAACACGCCAGATCGAGGCTTTATGTTCTACATCACCGAGGTGAGGGGCAATTGTCCTCGTTATCATTTTAAGCCATATATATTATTTTTTGGACAATCTATGTACTTTTGACTGGGCTCAACTTTTAATTCTTTGATAGGACAAGCAATGTAAGCTCCTAGTGGTTTAGGAAGAAGTCTTTTGATGGCATTTCGAAAACGTTAAACATTACGACGGCATTATAAATTGCAAACTTATGAGAAATTAACACCTGTAAAAAGACATGTAGGTAATTTAGATCAACATTTGACCAGTAAAATGTAGGAAACGTCTATAGAATATCTCATTGTAGAAAAGCGTACTTTGGACATATCCCCACCTGCTCTGTTAAGTCTTTTTATTTTTAAAGCCCGCCTGAAACATGAACAGTACGATTATATGTATTCATGTGATTTTATCCCGATCGATCCTTGTTGCGGCAGTCTCCATTGCTGCTGGGTTCTGGCAAATTGAGTACTGCATGTAAGTCACCAGTTTTTGGAGCCAGATATTCATGGGGATTTCCAGAGAATCTAGAAACAAATAAATAAACGAAACCAAAATGTCGTGTATAGCTGCTTCCGATCGCTTTGGGCGATTTGGAAAGTCCCAGACTCTCGTCGGTTTTAAAAAGAGTATCAGTAACAATTAAGCCCCTTTTGCTGTGATTACAGTTTCGAATTTTAGTATATGGTAGAAAAATAGTGACATGGCATTAAGAGAGATATTTAGATTTAAACTTGACTGAAAAGGAGCATAATTTTATCAGGAAATCTCGATCAGATTTTACTTGACTTCATAATGTTCTGTTATTTGAAAATATGCTTGGTTTTAATATTAGCCTGAGTTAGTACACTTACTGCATGCATTAGTTTAACTAATTTTGGAGATGATTAAATGGCTTCTTGCACTAATTAATTGTGTATTGGCCGATAAAATACTATACCATGCGCACAGAGACGAGTCCTAATTAATAGTGACAATCCTATCGAAATGTTCCATATAAATGTGTTTTAAAGTATTAATGTGTATTTACTTTGACATCGGAGGAGATGTGAAATACACTGGAATATGGCTTTACAATATGATATTTCAGGTCATAGATTTTGGAAGTGGTTGTCCCTTTTATAATTTTCAAGCCATTTTAAAAGACTTGTCAGATAATCGGTGTAGTCCGGACCGTGTTGGCTGAACGCCATACGTCCTTTGATAGGACAAGAAATGTGTATAACGATTGATACTGAATGACAAATATGGATCATCTGTAGACACGTATAAGCCCTTAGGATATGCATGTAACCTCTTAAGTTACACAAGAAATAATGCAAAGTGTGAACATCCTGGCAAAGGACTCCTTGGAAACAGCTTGTCTTGAAGCACAGAACTTGAGTGTGTAATACTCCTTAACGGCAGCCCTTGACACAAGTCCAGAGTCTGTGGTTCGTTGTAATTAATTAACAACGAATATATGTATACTTCATATACCAATGCATGTACATCAACCTTAATTAGAACCCGTTTATGTGGTTAGATAAAGAAAATGACCAACTATAATTTGAGTAAAATGAATTTACTTATGTACCTCGTGTATGTGCGACGTGTGGAACCCAAATAACCATTAATACAAGTATACAATTGTACATGTGACTTCATGTAGTAGGCTTATAATAAACAGAACCAGCAATAACCCTCTATGATTTTACAAAAGTTACAACCTGTTCCTGTAGCCCCCCAAGCGAACTTATTTTATTCGGTGATTTCTAACATGGGAGAATTATCTGTTCTTACCAACTGTTACATTCTTAGGGTTTACTGAGCAAGAAAAACTGCCTGTATTGTGGTTCAGCCGTCTTCTAACATCACGAGGAAAGACGTTTCTGGAACACGAGTGTCGATCGCACAACATATCACCAAAAGAGGGCGCTGAACGAATTTACGCCGCTACAATGATACATAAGCCTTTTCGATCGTATTTCGGAAAGAGTGTTAAATATTATGATTTTTTAATAAATTGCAAACGCATGAGAAACAAAATGTAATAGCCAACTTAATGTTAAAACATTATCACTTTCAACGCAGCACTTAAAGATTTGACTTATCCAAAACGAGAGACCTGTACTATCCAGTCCTTTCTATTTTAACTACTGCTTGAGACATGAATAGTGCTATTGCTATCTGCCAAGTTGAATCGCACCCTCAATGACAAAAGAAAGATTGTTTAGTACGCAGTTTTCCAACTGGGTTCTTGCATGCGCTTGCCGCGTAGACCATACACTCCAGAATAAATTCGTTGCGCGTACTCACCGTACGCGTGCCCCGCGTCAAACGCACATAAACTTGCTTGCCTACATGTACACGGTGAGTTCGTACCAAAGGACTGTCAATTTTACTTAGAAAGACCCCCCTCCTTTGTTCCCACCCGGAGTGGGTGGTGACAAAAGTGAACACGTCACACTCACAGTTTTGTGCGTATTATTGTAACCGTTATTAGTGCGAGAATCAGTGCGTGAACCATGCGTGCGTGTACTCCATTTGAACGGCATATATTGGAGAAATAGGGCATATATTGGTTCTACATGACGTCACATCTCGGTAGGCCTACTTACTCGTAGACATGTAAAACACAGACCTACAGTGTTGCGCGTGTAACCGTGACTTTAAAACGTGTGTGCAAGCAGGCAAGACGGTGAATGGCAGCGCGTTCAGTACAAATTGCGCGTGACGCACTTCGATTGCATGCAACTGTTTACGTGTGCTCTTTTGTACTTCTATCTCTTCTGTTCAAATATTGCAGCTGCAGTGTTTCGAATCTGCACGGGCCAGATTAAGTAAATAGTGGATTGTTTTCACCATCGGATACTGGCTTCATAGCATTTTATGGGTGGAATTCTTAAACTGTGTGTAAACTCCCTACACGGAGGGGGTGGATTTGCCCACGCTTTTGGATTTAGTCGGGTGCCGTCTCGGCTACGGTACCCCGCCGTTGTTTTTGAATAGGAGCTGTCTACGGGTTTTGTGTGTGTGAGCCTACTCTATCCACCCCGAGCTTAAGTGCACCCCCAATCGGCGAAAGAAAGACAGCTTGTTACAAGCGGGTTCTTGCATTTGTTCTGCGTGTACGCAAAGACCATGCCCCAATAAATTAGTTACGCGTACTCAGCAAGCTCCGCGTCAAACGCGCGTATACTTGCGCGCCTCATGGCGCGTCTATGCGGTGAGTACCCCCAAAGCACGCCCTCTTTTGTTCCGCCCGGAGCTGGAGTGGATCGTATTAGTGTAATGTTAACCTGTTCCTTTTGTTTTGCCGCGGTATTTTGCATTGGTGTTTGGTTCCGTCAAAAAGAGAATGAGTAATAGACGTCGTACTTGGCGGCCATCTTCACGGTCAGTGTATTGTTATGGAGGGGCAGCACAAAAAGTCTACTCGTGTATCCCTGTGGACAGTGGCGTAAATTTGTTCGGGAATCAGGGGTAAGGGGATGGGGATTTGTGGGTGGATGACTTACCCGGTGTGGCGGTCTCAGCTGTCTCCCGGTCTCAGCGGTCCCGCCTGAATAGCCGGACATTACACGGACGACTTTCCCGTTGTTGTGCGCAGAGATGACATGACGTATTTTTACCATATTTGGTATTAAGGGGACTGCTGAGACCGGGAGACAGCTGAGACTGCGACTGCAGAGGTAGAAGGCGAAGAAAAAATCTTTACGCCAACCTGACTCCCCACGCAGAACATTCATGGAGAATCTTACATGACCTAGCAGCCTTCATAAATACCTTCTGTAACCTGGTACAACTATTGAGTTCCCTACCCAGAAATGTACTACATGTATCAATTCTTATGTAAGTTACTCAAGATTGTAATCATGGTCAATTTACCACATGTATTACGAATTATCATGTACTTTAATTTCTCCCTATTAAAGATTATACTTATTTATAGCCATAATAAAATTCTATTTAATTGTATCTTATTCTTAAAATCAATGTTCTCATTTATT